AAGGTCCTGGCCCACCGGTCTCCCTATGGTTCAGGGTAAAATCAGGGCAGGGCCTAGGTGCCAGACAGGGGTGATGTAGGAGCCTTATGCTCTGGCTGCACTGAGCTCCACCCTCCCTTCGCCCATGCGGTAGGACAGCAGCACGCCCACTAATACAGGATCGGGGCCCCACCCCTGTGCTGCCCAGGATGAAGCCCTAGTGCAAAGCCAAGCCTTTCCCTCTTCCTCCTCTGCTGAGCTCCACTGGCCCAATCACACCCTTGGATTTCAGAGCACTGGTCACTACCAACTGCAGCTCAGTCCCTCCCCTTCCCCCAACCCGTGAAATAGCAAATCCCTGCCCCTTACAGCAGAGCCAGGGCCCTTTCCAAACACTCCTCCTCCTACCAGCCCTCTGTCATCACCACCTCCATTGTATAGACAGCCCTGGAGAGCGAAGGGGCTACCCACAGGCACACAGCCAGGCTGGGGCAGGACTGGGAGCGGGACCCAGGAGTCCTGACTGCCAGGGTGAGGCTGGGACCAAAAGGCCCACTGTCTCTGCAGGTGTAAGAAAGCCGCCACACACTTCGTAACACAGCCGTGGCTGCGGCACAGGGAAGGCCGACGGTCCTGTTGAAACAGAACCCTGATCACCAGCCCCCTTGCTCGCCGGAGCGCCTCTCTCGCAGTCTCACCAGCTCCAGCTGCGCTCTGAAGGTAGCAGCATTGGCCCCAAGTCAGACTGATGTGAGATGTAGAAGTAAAACCAAGCTGTTGGGAGAGTTAATGACGGAATGTAGCCCGGTGGCCTCAGTTATGAACTGAAAGGGGTAGGGGGTGTTCTGCTGGATGGGACAAGCCATGCTGACAACTCACCATGTTTAAACAGCCTACAGGGGGGTTACGGGCAGTTGATGCTGTTTACTGAACATCATGCCTGGAGTTTCGATTGGACTCTGTGTTCTTCGCTTTTCAGCCGAACCTGTTGTGTGCTGTGCTGAGAATGGATGTTCCACCCCAGAGCTGGCTGCATTTCAGTCATGGGTGAAACAATCCTTCACTCCCTAGTTTGCCTAGTGCTTTGGGGGTGTTTGATGAAAGCTAACGTCACCCTTTATCCTCCAGCAAGAAATTAAATTAAATTCCAGGCAGCTTATGGGGTGGAGGGTCTCTCAAAGGACCCCTGACAGCAGGTGCTTAGTACAGACACCGAGAGCACACCCAAGACATACTTAGCCTAGTGGCCTTGTCTCAAATTTACCCTCTTGTCCCGCTTGTGCAGAGCATTACATGGTGGTTACCTCCCCTCCACCCACTGCTCTGCATAGGGCTGAAAGGACACTGTTTGCAATGTACTTTGCAACCCTAGGAGATGACAGATGCTATTCAAATATACAGTGGTGCCAATTGTGCGATCCGGATCACCTCCAGGGCTGTGCCGCAGGAGAAGGTCAGCGAGCAATGGGCAGGGCTGTCGGGCATCTCCCACCCATGGTATTGAACTGACAAGAACACAGCAATGTCAGAGGAACAGTTCAGTGTTGGGAGCACATAGGAGCCCCAGAGCGATCAGCCCACGGGTCTATTCAACACCTTTTTATTAAAAAGAATTACAAAAAGGAACAGGTTACAATGTTTATATACAGTCCAAAAATCTATCCCCTTTGCTGTTACAGTGTCCCAGGCGCTTCAAAGAAAGAATTACTGCAAGGGGGCAGACCCCCATGCCAGCTGGTTACCTGCAGCAGCATCTACAGTACGCCACATTTCCGGGCGGGAGGTGGGGGGGGGGGGGCGGGGAACACAGGCCGGGGGGTGGGCAATGAGATAGCACAACACACCGTATAAACACA